TTTCCCTTTCTTCAATAAAATCAAGTAATATAATTCCTTGCAATTAAACTTAAAACTCAACACTTGGTTGGTTCATGTAAATTTTCTTATGTACACATCTCAGCCATTAGGGAGTAAGAGGGGTCAAGAAAATGAAAATTACGAAGTATTAAGTTCCCAAACAAACTAGTAAAGCCTTAATTAATTAGTTAGTAGAAATACATCTGAATCAATTTGCAAAACCAACCCTTTTAAGAAACACTCCAACAACTATTTACTGTTAACAAAAAAGATATGGCTTGACTAAAAATTGATTGACAATAAGCAGAAAGACTACATGAAGCACCACTCAAGCTGTTCCTGCTCTTGAAAATTTAACAATCATAAACAACTAGGGAGGTAAAGACACTAAAAACCAAACTTTGATTGAGATTTACCTGATTGTCCTCCGGCTCAGTCCTCCTTGCTGCTTTGTCTGTCCTTTCCTTCATCAGATTTGGCTTTTGTGCTGATTCTGACAAGTTTCTCTTCATCTTTGCTTGTTTCTTTGCCCAAAGACCCTTCATAACCTCTGAAAAAAGCAGCACATAAAGGTTCAAATTTGGAACAAAGCATAAAACTTCTTAAGGGGAAAGAACAACATAGAAGAGCTAAAAAGTCAAAGGGTGATGCTGAAAGTTGGAACTAACCTTGAGCTGAGATGAGTCTATAAACTTGGCCAAGCATAAGGGTATCTGTTGGCTTGAGAAGCTTGATTCGGGTAAGACGAACAGGGTTGGTGGTGTTGTTGATATTGTTGTTATCACTCTTATTTGTGCAATTTTCTTTGTCCTTGGAGGTACACAATGTGGTGGAGATAAGAAGAGCAACATAGTGATCAGGATTGGTCTTCATGACTTCACTAGCACTCACAGGCCAATACAACCTTTCTACTTTCCCATTGGGTTGTTGTATGACTAGAGTTGCAGTGTCAATGGCTTGGCAATTCCCCATTCTCTCACTCTCAAACACACAACAAAAAGAGGATAATAACAAGGAAGTTGGAACTTGGAAGAAGGGAGTGTTGAAGTACTTCACTGGAATATTTATAGCAGCCACAAGTATTGGAGGGGCAAACAAAGTGATATCCTTGGAGACCTATAAATAGTGGCTGATGAGGCTTTTTAAGTCTAACCAGTGTAAGATTAAAAAAGGGTGGTAGAAAGATAGATTTTGGGAAAAAGAAAAGATAGAGTCGAACAAAAAAAAAACAAAAAAAAAAGATGAAAGAGAAGTAGTGAAAGTGTTTAGCAACACTGGAGGGGTGAGGAAACAGACTAAAGTGAAGGGGACCTTGGCAGGGTAGGTGATGTGATGTGCACCTCTAAGACGTTACATTCTCGTGGTCTACCATCTTAGGGTAAATGAAATGTCACTGTTCATAAGGTAATTCATTCCCATGGATGTCACCCACTTACCCAAGTCATGTCTCCCTAGTCCCTAGGCCCTAGGTTATATACCCTAGTTTAGTTTATAGTATACTTTATAGGTATAGGGTATAATCTTTTATATTTCACGTTTTGGATTTCAGAACTCCGACATTGACGCAAGAACAGTGGCCATCCACTACACTCCAAAGGAGGAAAAGAAAAGTGGCCATTAAATTAACAACAATGCTGCATGCAAGAAAAAATAATTGTTCACAAATGACATGTTTGATCAGGTATGCAAGTATACCAACATTTTTCTTTTTACCATAGTTATAACCTCAATTTTTTTTTATAATTATGTTACTAGTATAGGATATTTATCAATTTTATTGATGAGTAATATGTATCAAAAAATTTGGTTAATTATATTTAGTAAGATTTTATCTCTCAATCACATTTTTTATATATATAAAATTTGAACCTGAAATTTTGTTTAAGAGAATCAAGTTTGGTATAACTTAGATTATCAGATTTATTGGTAGATATAACCTCTTCTTCTATTTATTGTTTCATTTTCCCTTAATTCTTTTTGTCTTTACTTGTATAATTTTTCAATAATCTCTTTAATTATAATAATAATTATGGGTTAATAAGACTTTTATGGATAGAGATTAAAATCTAATGTTAGTAACATGAAATAGTAATCTAATGTGATTATCTAAGTACAAAAATATAAAGAATTCCATGTCAAATTTCATGGTTTGTAAATTGACCTAACCTTAGAAAATAAAAAATATTACATATAATTATATACAAAAAATATTACTATAAATACAATATATGTAGATATAAATATATTTAGCATATGGCATTATAACTTCACAATTTTAGTATTAATTCTGAATAAGATCAACAAAATATATTGTGTATCATTATAATCTATACTTATAATTTTTAATAATATGAAAATATATATTGTGTAGGTAAAAGTAATCTTTAATGATAAATATTGTGTCATTATAGAGTGTGTATATTATATTTATGTGATAATTTTTTATAGTGCGATTAAAAAATATAGGATGGTAAAAGAGCAAATTACAATTTTTTTAGTTTAGAGATTTAATTTTTTAAAAAAATTAGAAGGTCCAAATAAAAAATTATGTATTAATTAACCTAATTATTTGAAAACTTTTATTACTCGTTTAGAAAGTTATAGGAATTAATTTATATCTGCTTTGAATTCAAACAAAAGAAAAAAATAGACACTGAAATGAACACAAAATTAAAAATTATATTACCCCATATTTTATTTTTCATTAATAAGTGGCATTTTTTAGCGAATAATAAAAACTTTAGTACACAAAATAACAAAATCTAATAATTTGCTCGTTTGCTGATATTGTATTTGACAATATTATATCTAAATGTAATTATAATAAATATTTTTAATAATTTATTAAAATTAAAATGTGAAAGTAAGCTTATAAAAAGGAAAAGTAGGGGTTCGGATTACATTATTTATCATGATACTAATCTTGTAAGGATAGTTACTTCTCATTCTAGTCCCACTATCTTTTATCGTATATCCTATTGTATTTCTTGATTATCAATAATAAAATTGTCAAATTCCTTCTATAAAAAAAGATACGTAAGAAATAATAATTTTTTGGTTGACCCAAATTATTTGTAATCATGTAGGGTAGTAATTTAGTGCAGCAGTATATAACGTCTCTATCTCTTAAGATAATACAACTTAATGACTTATATTCCAAAGGAAATACAAATGCATCAAGTTTGTTAGATGATAGCCTGGCACTGCCACTGCCACAGTAACGGACACGGCCCATGTGTTCTCTCATGAGTCATGACTATGCCATTAAGATCGACACATTCACTTTTTTATTTTACAAATAATATAAATAAAAAACATTATCGTAAACATTTAATTGATTTATAATTGTGTATATTCAAATGTTAATGATGTGGTGAGTGGTGAGTGGTAAGTAGTAGCATGTTTGACAAGAACAAGTAGTTGAGTGGCACTGCCAATGATTAACGCCAAATGTAGAGATGCATGAAGATTTCAATCACTTGTATTGGATGTTCGTGTTCTTTCATAATCATAGCAGAATGAGAATGAGAATGAGAATGTGCATAATCCATAAAGCCATATGTGTATTATATAATGAATACATTGGTTTGAATGCGTTTGCGTTACAAAAGAAAGAAGCAGCATCCGATTACGAAATGGTCCCATCCCAATCGGGCTTTCTGATTCAAGGCCCACCCTCTCTCCCGCCATTTCTCTAAACTCCTCCAAGAATATGTTCCTTTCCTTTACAATATTTCTTATTTTATTAAACCAAATTATTATTCGTGTTTTGATACTTTGCTGCTGCTTGTACCTATCATTATTCATTATCATTACTTCCTCTGTCGACTATGCCTATGGAACTTCACAAACTCATTTTCTGCTTTGTCTTTCCTACAATCAACTAGCATATGCATATCTTCTTCTTGGATATCGTGGATCAAATCTATCTATATCTTCACTAAGACTATTATTTACTACTGTTCCTTTAAATGGTTCTTCAAGATTTTTATACCAAAATCAAGAAATATACTAACCTTTTATACTTTCTATAAAACAATCTTGAATATATATGATAAATAAATGATACAATGACGTTTAAAGTAATCTTACATTGTCACCTAATTAAAAACTATTATTTATAGTAAATTATTGACTTTTATATTAAACACATAAAAGATTGTATCAATCGTAATACTTTATTAGTAGATAGTAGTGCAAAACTATTTTTTACTGTTAATGCATGACAACATAACTATTTAACTCTATTATACTTTTTTTTTTATTCTTACTTTACAATAAATGCATTGGTTATAAATGTATAATTTTTCATAGAACTTGTTTGGATACAAATTAGAAATGTTTCTAAAAACTTTTCTACCGAAAAAAAAGAGGAAATATTTTAGAGAAGTTCACAAAGTGTTTCTAAACTTGTATGTAAACAAACTAATACTCAATTATAAACAAAATAAACAAACGATAAAAAAGATAAAATAAATTACTTATGCACTAATTAAAATTCATTAACATCATTTAATTTTGTTATTCTCAATTAAAAATAACTTTTTTCTTATATTACATTTCATTAGAAATTGGTATTAAGAATATAAAAAAAATTATAGATAAAATCTTATTAATTGAAGAGTATTTAAGAGAAGATAACATTAAATAAGATAAAATTATTTAAGATTTACTTATATTTAGGTTTACCATTCATGATTTTATTTTTTGTTTATTTTTTAGTTTGAGTGGAACAAATTAATAAAAGAAATAAGTAGAAAATAAAGTATATTTGACAAAAGAAAATAGTTTTATTTTAAAATTTAAATATCACTGTGTGTGAAAATTTATTTATTAAAAAATTATATTTCACTATAAAATACCTTACTTTACTTAAAAATTGAACAAGACTTTTTAAAGAATTGACGATTAAAAAGAAACACCATATATTTTGATAAAATTAATTAACATCCCTCCATTTGGCCAATCCCATTGGGTTCTAGTTAATGTTGAAAATAGATCGAAAAAGAAATGACGTTAAAAAATTAACGTGTGATTGAAATGTATTTTAAATTTTTTAAAAAAAATTATTGAAAATATAATTATTTTTGCACTTACTGTAAAATTAATTTTAAATTTTCAAAAAAATCCAAACTATCATTATTATATATAAATAAATTATTTTGACCTCTTTAGTGATTTTGACCATAAACAAATTGGTCATGGATACAGAGCCAGTCAACGTTAGCATTGTCGGGATGTGTCATGAATAAATTCAAAACACTCTTTC